CCCCAAAACCCCAAAACCCCAAAACCCCAGCAAGCATTAAAACATAGGAAATACAATATTAACCAAAAGATTTAAAATTAATGTTTTTGAAATAATCAAATATATTTAATTAACAAGCATAATTCTAAAGATTTTATCAAACTTTTCTTTGCATGAGCTTAAATAACTGATCAATTTCTATTTAAGGTGTGCATTGCATTTTCTACTTCTACTGCTACTTAACATCATTGATCTTTTATAATTTTAAATTAAGTTCTTTTTCTTGTTAAATAAGTGTTTCCTTCTGCTATTAGATTATTTATTAAGTTTCTTTTAATTATATTTCCTTGATTTGTACTTTTTCTTTTTGAAGCTTTAATTTGTAGCTTTCAAGAGATTATTTATAAAGATTCATGAAATTTTAGTTAAACTCTTTCAGCTATTCTTCCTCGTCAAATTCTATTAATTGGTCATTTTCATTTTCATTTTGATTTAATTCTTCTAATTGTAATTTCAATAATTATTCTTATGCTTAACTCATATTTTCCTTTTCTTAACATTTTAAACTATGCTTCTAGATATTTTCATCTAAATCTGATGAAGTTTAATTGTAACTGCTAAAATATTCTTCAAATCTCTTATTTTAGATACGGTTTATTTATTACTATTAGTTTTAATTATTATTACCTAAAAAGTCATCAAAGTTGCGCTAACAACCTTCATCTTCATTTTTATCATCATTAGAATATTCGGATACTTATTCCTATAATTCATAATCTTAATTAGAGGCATATTGTTCATCACTAATTGAATGGTCATTTTAGTCTAATGATTCTTAATTTCTATCCATATTTTATTCGTTTAATTAACTTAAATATCCTGATTAGTTTCTATTAAAGGGTTAATATGATAACTTATTTCTGTGTATAAACTAATTAAAGCTAATTTAACAAAAATCTGCCTAAGATGATAATTTAATAACACCGGTTAATTCTTTCAAAAAATCATAATTACACATTATTGGGAGAATCCTACCTTAATACAATATAACCCAATACTACTGTGATTATAAATAATGAAGAGCTATTAATATGGTTTTAACTCTTTACTTAATAACCATCATTAAAACTTGAAGTCTTAGTTAACTTCTGATTTATTCAAGTAATTCATAAATGTCATACTCAAAGAGGTTGTTGACACTTAATAAATTTCAATCAAAATTTAACAATATCTTTTTATTTACTACAGAATGTAAAAATAAATCCTCTATTTTTGATTGTTTAATTTCTCTAAAATTGATGGCAATTATCCTAATTAATCTCAACTAATCTATTTCATTGCAATCCTTGATCAGTGTTTTTAACTAGGATTAATTATACATTTAAATATCATTTAGGTTTTTAGTAATATCTACTTAGTATCTAACTGAACTTTATATGAAACAATTTGACCTTTTATAAAAAATTTATTTTTGTTTCTTAGTTTAAATTATCATTCGTTGATAATAATTGTAAATCATAACCTACCAATATGAACGCTTTTCTTTAAATTTATATTCAATATTTTAGTTAAAGTAGTAAACTTTTCTACCGAAATTATTTTAGTGATTCTATTTTTCATACTCTATAATAAATTGATTTTTAGGGCAGTTTTCAGAGTTTATTTTTATTGAATTCTTTTGAATTTCTCGCCTTTATTTTAAAAATCTTTTAAGGTCATTTAAATCATGAATAATGTCTTTACACTCTTCAGGGATATTTTAGATCTTTTAATTGTCAATGTCCTAATCTTTAAAATTCTGTTTAAACTTTTTGGTAGATACTTTTCTATTTTCATCTTTTGTTGAACAAGTGATTTGACTGAAATTTCTCTTCTTACTATTCATTTGTTTTAAAAATTATAATTATTTTAAACTATTGAATAAAGTAAATTTATCCTTATGGGGTTTTGGGGTTTTGGGG